TTGGTTGTGTGAGGAACAGTATTTGAAGGTGATGTAGTTCCAGCCAGGGTCACATCCAGGTGAGCTGGGTAGATGTTATTTTCTCATTTAATCTGGTGTTATGCCAGTATTTTTAAGCACAGTGCCAAGCTCAAACCTTTGCCAAATTGAGGTGAATATAAAACAATTTATCCAGAAAAGCAACTATGCAGATATGCAAATATATCTAAGTGGACTTTGTCTCTTATTGAGTTAATAAGCTACATTATTAATTCCAGACATCCCACCTTAAGTGAACATTGTGGCAGAGAACTGCCAGTCATACACCTGCAACCTCAATGTGCTTCCTTGCCTGGGTTAATTACAACAGTCTTAATTACCTGGCTGCAAGCTGTCCCTTGGTTAAATCAACTTCAAAGAGGCTGTAGACACATAGGTGTGACATCTGCTAACCCAGTCAGCTGTGAAGACCCGCAGTTTCCTGATCATAGCTCTAGTCCTGTCCTTCTTGCTTGTGCAAACCTGAAGAGGATGAGAAGCACCACAAGGAAGGTAATAATTTGTTCTTCTCCCTTATGCAAAGGACAAAAATCATGAGCTCTGGTGAGATACAGGCTTGAAACTGCTCCGAAACAGGTGATTTGGGGACAGTAAGGAGTTTCTGCTCCAGTAGATGAGGTTGTGCATGTATCTATCAGAGACTGATTTCCATCTTGCACTGGGGAAGGGCTATGGATGGGTTGATTACTCTCGCTCTTTTAAACCCCCAAATTCAGGTGCTCTTTGTTTCAGGAGAGGCTGATCGGGAGCGCTGGGTGGCTGTCCACAGTCGGGTCAGTGTGTGGTTGCAGAAGGAGTTGGCCAGGTGTTTTTCACAGGCTCAGATTGCATGGCTGGTAGGTTTACCATATCTTAAGAATGACCCAAGATGTTAAGTGCATTAAATCTGGTCAATTTAATGATTATTGCTTAGCAGCAGATAGGCAGAGCTGACCAAACTGAGTGAGGAAAGAGTTAAAATCTCAGCTTCAAGTGCCAGGATCTATTCCCTCCTTACAAAGCCAGGGAAGCTTTGTCAGTGGGCTAGGAATCAAAGATTTCAACTGCATTTGCACCTTGCTCAATACCCAGCAGGTCATTCCCTGAGGATGTTTTTATCTGTTTCATTGATTAAAAATAAAGTTTAATAAATTGGCAACAAATCTAATGGGGTACAGCAAGCCAGGCCAAGGTACCTGGTGATGCCCCCCATTTCTAGAAAATCTCCTGGATTTTCTCTACTGCAATGAGCAAAACTTGTCACTTTACAAGATATTGAACTACTTCATTGCACAAAATAAAAATCTCTCAGCTTTTTGTGCCAATGAAGCACAAAGAAAATGTTCAGAAGTGTTTCAACAGCTCTGAAAGTACTTCACTTGAGCAGCAACATGTCTGAAAGTGCAGCTCCCATCCCTCCTTTGCATGTACAACTCAAAAATCAGCATATAGAATCCCAGACTGGTTTGGGTGGGAAGGGACCTTAAAGATCATCCAGTTCCAACCCCCCTGCCAGCAGCAGGGACACCTTCCACTAGACCAGGTTGCTCAAAGCCTCATCCAGCCTGGCCACAAACACTTCCAGGGAGGAGCAGCCACAGCTTCTCTGGCCAACCTGTTCCAGTGTCTGACCACCCTCACACCAAAGAATTTCTTCCTCACCTCTCAGCTCCATCTCCCCTCTGCCACATTCAAGCCATCACCCCTTGTTCTCTCACTCCCTGCCCTTGTCCAGAGACCCTCCCCAGCCTAATATCTTCCTAACGTGGCACTTGCACGTAGGCTGCATCTGCAGTCATTCTTGGGGGTTGGTGGTGGAAGTGAGAGGTCCTTGCAAGGCTGCGTTGGAGTTGATGAGATGAAGGAAGAGCTCCTCCAGGTGTGATGCTCTGTGCAGGGCTGGGATGTGGCACTAGATGCCTGTCATGGTGTGTGTGTTGAGTCTGGAGGCACCTTTGGTTGCTAGCACACTGGTACTGTGGCTGTGGGGCAAGTCAAGAGGAGGACTCAAGAAATGTAGAGGAGGTCAGGTGTAATGTGGAGGAAACTGAAGTGCAGTGGGGACAGTGTCTTTGCGTGACCCATATGGGTTGGTCAGAGAGATTGCCCCCTCCCTGGAAGTGTTTGTGGCCAGGCTGGATGAGGCTTTGAGCAACCTGGTCTAGTGGAAGGTGTCCCTGCTGATGGCAGGGGGGTTGGAACTAAATGATCTTTAAGGTCCCTTCCAATCCAAACCATTCTATGATTGAGCTAAAGATGTTGCTTCCTTGGTATTTCATGTGTTTACATGGACCCAAGAGATCAGACCTTGCTGAGGGGACAGAACTGGTGCAGCACGGTGAACGTACACAAAAAGGACCCATTTAAAAGGGAGTCTGCTGCTTGTTGAATCGCATTATTTAATAATCTGGATCATTTTATTATACAAGATGAAGTAGAGGTACCACTGCCCAGAACAGCACATGGGATCTGGAGATCAGTTACCTCTGACCGAGAGGAGGGAGGAAGTGTCTGCTTTTTTTCCAAGCACAGGATTACAAGATCTCAGATGTGTTTACCCTTTTTGGATAAATAATTCTGGCACAAGACACCATTTCCTGCTGGACCAGCTTGTGCCAGCTGTGGCTCTGCCTCCCTGAATTTATAGCCGAGGCAGCGGCTGCACTGCAAACAGAGTCCCCTTTGCAATAAACTCTGAGGAATAACGTTGTCTTGGCAGCGTTTTCACAATATTGGCTTTGCACTCTTTGGCCTTGACGCTGCAAACAGCGGTGAGCAGCAACAGACTGAAATGCCTCTTGGTTTGTGTCATGTGGAGGACTCAGAAGAGGTTTGGAGGAGAGATTAAAGTATTAAGGGGTCAAGGAAGTCAAATGTCTGGAAAGCCAAGGAGATGAAGTCTGGCCCTCTGGAATGTTGGGGAAAATGGAGGGTACAAGTGCCTGAGAAACTTTCATCTCATTCCCATGCTGCCAGCAGAATTTAACCCTTCTGTGCCTTTCATTTCCCAGTAAAACAATTCACAGCACTTCCTTCTTTTGGCAAGGGCGTGAGGAGAAGGAGGTGCACACACCCTGGAGGGTTAGTGCTGAGGGACCAGAACTGTGGTCTCAGGACAGTTCTGGCCATGACACTGCTTTTCCTTCCTAATGTAGGAGACAGGGACCCTGGAGGTGGGATGTTGCCCATGCAGACAGGGACTCCAGCAAGGGGGGTTGGATTTGGGGTCCAGCAGGGACAGCCCCACTGTCTGCACTGGTTTGCACTGGTCTAAATTACTTGTTGAGCACCAGTGGAATTTTCAGCTTGATATAACACTGGAAAGAGAACAACGTATTTAGAAGGATTGGGTTTTATTTTTCTTAGAAATTGTTTTCTTTCAGACAGATCTCTGGCTAATTCTGTTTATTTTTCAACTCCCAGTACTGATAAGAAACCTGTAATGTTTTGATCTTTCAAACTTTCTTCACAAAACAGTCCAAGGTCTTTATCTTACAGATGAGTCTGTCCTTCTCTTTTATTATTTGTCCAGGCAGTTATTCCAAACTGAGAATTCAAACATTGTGTTTCTCACCACAAGTGTAAGCTGACCGGGAAAAGGCAACTTGCACTTTTTCCTCACTGGGGTCAACTTGTCTCAATAAAAAGCTAAAATAGAAGTTGGCCTGAGGCAGGGCACACACAGGGTCACCGTGCTGCTTCCGTGGGCTTCAGCTCTCACAGCAAAAATGCTCTGGGCAACAAACATGGGTGTTGCCAATACACATCTGCTGCAAGTTCCTCAGGTGGGAATCAGATGGGGCAGACCAGCCCATCTGCAGAGTGGTTTACACCTGCAGAGGTCTGTGGGTGATGAGACCCCTCCTGAGTTGCATCCTCAAAGTATTCTGGATCTTCCCCGCTCTCCCATCTTAGATTCTTGTACTGATGGCAACTGAATCATAGAATCACAGATGGAAGAGACCTTAAAGCTCCTCCAGTTCCAACCCCCCTGCCATCAGCAGGGACACCTTCCACTAGACCAGGTTGCTCAAAGCCTCATCCAGCCTGACCACAAACACTTCCAGGGAGGAGCAGCCACAGCTTCTCTGGACAACCTGGGACACTGGCTCACCACCCTCACACCAAACAATTTCTTCCTAATACCTAATCTAAATCTATACATAAGATGTAAAATGATACTGGTCCATGCAGGGATCAGTTTCTTCCTCAAGCTGCTGAAACAGTTGGAATAATTCAATGTTAGTTGAGAACCAAGATTTGAATCTGCTAAGAATTCCTGAAACACTGTGCCAGTCTTCATGTGCTACAACAGCTGATCAATGTAATGTAAAAATATAGACAAACATGATTCATGTGTATGTGCCATAGTGCACTTACTTTATTTAAATAGAATCCCAGACTGGTTTGGGTTGGAAGGGACCTTAAAGCTCCTCCAGTCCCAACCCCCCTGCCAGCAGCAGGGACACCTTCCACTAGACCAGGTTGCTCAAAGCCTCATCCAATCTGGCCTCGAATGAATTCAACTTGTAGTTTGTAACTCCCAAACTATGGAGAGGAGAGGTGGGGACAACAGCCAGGGGCCAGCCCGGGATGGGAGGAGAGGTAAGATAACTGCTCTATGGTTGGGCTAAGACCATGTGTGTTTGCATCTGGCCAATGATGGGACTGAGTGTACCTGGGTGAGAAGCAGGAGGATATGATCACAGGTCTGTGTGCCTGAGAAGTGGCTGGAGACCATAGCAGTGCTTCCTACAGCTCTTTCTTCTCCCCATCTAGGCCAGCTGTTCCTGTGGCTTCCCTTCCAGCTCTGCAGCAGTGCCTCATGTCCCACCCAAATTGCTCCAGTCCTTCGTCCTTCATCCTGACAGGCATCCCTGGGCTGGAGGATGCTCAGTTCTGGATTGCCTTCCCGTTCTGCACCATGTACTTCATGGCAGTGCTGGGGAACACCATACTCCTCCTATTGATTAAGAGGGACCCAAGCCTGCACCTGCCCATGTTCTACCTCCTCTCCATGCTGGCTACCATTGACCTCATGCTCACCACTTCCACCATGCCCAAGCTCCTGAGCATCTTCTGGTTCCAGTCCCATGAGATCAACTTTGAAGGCTGTGTGGCCCAGATGTTCTTCATCCACATCTTCTCCACAGTGGAGTCAGGGGTCCTGCTCACCATGGCCTTCGACCGATACTTGGCCATCTCCAAGCCTCTACACTACTCTGCCATCCTGACTGGCCCCACCATTGCCAAGTTGGGTTTGGCTGCTGTGGTGCGTGGCACTGCCATTGTGACCCCTCTGACATGCATGGTGACCAACCTGTCCTACTGCGGCCCCCGTGTCATTCACCACTCCTACTGTGAGCACATGTCAGTGGTGAAGCTGGCCTGTGGGGACACCCAACCCAACAGCATCTATGGGATCACAGCTGCCACTGTTGTGGTGGGCTCAGATTCCATCCTCATTGCTGCCTCCTACATACTGATCCTGAAGGAAATCATAGGTCTCTCCTCCAGAGAGGCTTGTCTGAAATCCTTCGGCACCTGTGGCTCCCACATCGGTGTCATCCTGCTCTTCTACGTACCTGGGCTCTTCTCCTTCTACACTCAGCGCTGGGGCCAGAGGATCCCTGCACACCTCCACATCCTGATGGCTGACCTCTACCTGCTGGTGCCTCCCATGCTCAACCCATTCATCTATGGGATGAGGACCAAGCCGATCCGGGAGCAGATACTGAGGCTGCTCTGGCAGAAAGGGATCCAGCCCAGGTCCTGACCCCAGCCTGTCACTAATGCCAGGTGGGAAGGAATGGGGTTTGGACCAGAGCACAATGGCAGCATGTTTGAGGAGCAAAGAAAAAGCTTAGAAACCTGACTGCTGGAAAAGCAGGACGATCTCTTTGTCATCTTGGCCAAATCCTGAAAGCTGGAGGCACCACAGGAAATTTGACTAGTGAAACATTATCTTTAGAAAGTGAATTTGATATTCTTGTTCACAATGGAAAGATAAATTGTGTCTAACTGTATCTGTGGTCAACCTCAGATCTACCTCACCTCATGACTCTCCTCTTCATCTCAGCTCTTGATGGTACAAAACTGATCACACTCTCTGAGTGAAAGTCTGTCTGTGGATTTATCCTGGGATTTATCCCCCACACATACCTCTTCCACCCAATCTGTAACTCTCCATTTATTCACTTAGGAGTTTTTAGCAGCTGCCTGGTCTTGGTGCCTGGCCATGAGGGAGGAGCGTGGGGTGTGTCTGTGCACATTTACACACACACACTCACCCAGGTGTTGGCCCAAATGGATTTTATTTTCCTCTCAATCCTGTCATGAAACTTTACTGAACCGTTTGCAGCAATCCCAAAAACCCAGCTCACTCGAGAACACACAGAATCCCAGAATAACCTCAACTGGAAAAGCTCATTGATGCCCATCATGAACCCAACACTGACCAGTCCCCTATGACTAACCCATGTCCCTCAGCACTGTGTCTACACGACTCTTCAATCCCTCCAGGGATGGGAACTCCACCACTGCCCTGGGCAACCCCTTCCAATGCCTCACAACCCTTTCAGCAAAGTTCTTCCTCACATCCAATCTAACAGGGTCTACAAGTCACACTGAAACCCTGCCGTGTCATATAAGTTTTTGTTCTTTTTTTACTAGAACACCAAAAGAGCATCAGCCATAAAATCATAGAATCCCAGACTGGTTTGGATTGGAAGGGACCTTAAAGCTCATCCAGTTCCAACCCCCCTGCCATCAGCAGGGACACCTTCCACTAGACCAGGTTGCTCAAAGCCTCATCCAGCCTGGCCTTCAGCACTTCCAGGGAGGAGCAGCCACAGCTTCCTTGGGCAACCTGTTCCAGTGTCTCACCACCCTCACAGTGAAGAACTTCTTCCTAATATCTCATCTAAACCTCCCCTCTTTCAGCTTAAACCCATTTCCCCTTGTTTTGTCATTAACTGCCCTTATGAAAAGTCCTTCCCCAGCGTTCTACTAAATTTTTCCCAATGTTTTAATGATTCTCCCTAACCTCCTGTGCTGTTGTGTCTCTTCCCTAAGTGTAGAGGCACCTGTAATGGGATTTTGAGAAGCTCCAGTTTTTCATAAATCTTCACGTGCCTCCAAGCTCCCATGAGGTCCTACAGCTGTGGTTTTGGCACTTTAGCAAACTGGTTCTCCTCTTTGGAGCCCATTAAACTCTGCAGGTGCTGCCCTGCGTGAAGGTAACACACCTCTCCTTCCCCTGAACTAAAGCCCAGGTGCAGTGCTGTGCTGGGGAGAGCAGGAATATTTTGCAACGGGTGCTTAGAGCAGCTGGAGAGGGCGTTTGCACAGGGCTCACTTGCTCTGTGCAGGTCTCCTCATGCAAAGGACAGGGCCAGAAACTGGGGAAAGAAAAAAAAAAAAGCCCATGGGGCTGTTGTAGGAGAGTCACCTCTGAGTACTGGAGCCAATGCAGAGGAGACCACGAGGACGATGCCAGGGCTGGAGCAGCTCTGCTGTGAGGACAGGCTGAGAGAGTTGGGGCTGTTCAGCCTGGAGAAGAGAAGGCTCCAGGGAGACCTTTTAGCAGCCTCCCAGTACCTGAAGGGTGCTGCCCAGGTGGGATGCACTGCTCCCTGTGTCACCCAACCTTCCCCTTCCCTGGGGACACCCAGCCAGGCTTGGTGCAGCTCTTCTCATCTCCTTCAGGGAAGCACAGCCCTGCTTTCAGCAGCCCTTTCATGGCCCTCTTCGGTCAGGAGGTTTGCAATGGCAAACCCTGGCTTAGCAGAAGAAGGAGACCGATAAAATTAGCCTCTGTTGGGTCAAAGTGCCCAGAATTGATCTGCCACATGATTTCTATCCAGCTGCACTCTTTCTGCTGTTGCCTTAGAGGATGCAAAGCACAAGTGTGGGACAGGACATCCCTCCCGTGACATGCAGCCCCTGACAGGATGGAGAAAGCCAGGAGCTCCATCTCATGGCCACACAGACCATGGAAGGAGACCCAGACCTCTGGAAAGATTCAGCATCCTGAAAAGAGGCAGCTGGCAATGCCAAGCTGAGGGACCTGTGTTTGGAAGGCTGCAGGGTCAAAGGATGAGGAAGAGCTGCTGCAAGGGTTACAAGCACCACAGGGGATTGGCAACAACATCTTCTCAATTAAACCAGCTGCATTAGGAGGTCAATCAGTAAACGAGCAAGTCAGCTGCACACGTGCACGTGTGTGGACTCATTTCTTGAGCCATGAGACAGACACACCAGGGATTCCTCTCAGCAAACTTATAAATGCTTCCACCTCTAGAAGCTGCTGGGTCAGAGAAGCAGGTGGTGGAAGCAGGGCTGGCCAGTACCGCTCCTGCAGAGGCTGGATGAGTTGGGTCCATCTATTGATTTATCTGGAGAAATCTGCAGCAGCAAGCCAGGTAGGTCATCCATCAGTGAATGGATTTTAAATAGAAGCAGCACAGGAGGATTTGCCATTGCAGTCTTTTTTTTAGAAACTTAGAAAATGTATTTATTAAAAAAGAGGAGAAAAGAAAAAAAGAGAAGAGTGTGGAAAAGGCCCCATGATCCTCACCAGTCCCATGTTTCTTGACCACATTCTCTACAAAATAAACCACCATGAGTATGGAAAAATATCTTAGGTAGCCTTGGCTTCTTGCAACAGAAAATTCTCAGACCAGCTTGCACATTGTCATCTCAGGGAGTTTGCTTTACAGCTGAATAAATTCAAGGGCAGGCTTTATCCACAAGCATTATTCTCCTCCATTCTGTCTGCTTGCTTTCAGGAATGAGAACGTGTGGGTGGAGGGAGTGGGCGAGGGGAATGTGTGTCTGGTTTTTGAAGGTGTTTCTGCAGTCACTCCATGGACCCCCTTCAGAAGCCTTAGAGAACAGATACAAACAAAGCCTGATCTGATCTGTCACCCTCACCAGTACAAGGTGGCTGTACCAGGGTCATCCCTAATGATTTTCATCCTGCTTGGTCTTCTGCAAAAAGGCAGCATCAGTCTCTGTGGCACTGCAGCTCTGTTTTCATCAGTGCATTGCTATCTTTACCATCAGAGAAACTTTCTTTAAGCCTAGACTGATTTTCTCCTACACTTGATGGGATTTAGACCCCTGACTCATCCTTTCAGAGGACATATAGGACAATTATTCCTTTCCAATTCAACTGTAGCTTTTAACACAGTTCAAAGCTCTTCTCAAGACCATTTCCCAGCTGAGCTAGTCCTCTCAGATCTCCAGCTTAACTTCATCCTTATTTCTGAAGTCCCTCTAGTTTACCATTATTTTCCATGAAGTGGCCAGCACAACACACTTCAATCTGCAGACCTCCAGCTCTGCCCTTCGTGCTCATCCTACCTGAGGGTGTTCCACTGAACAAGCAATTCTGAGAGTATGATTTGCTCAGAAACTTTAATCATTAATGTTTTATAAATTACAGGAAAGCAAGCAATCAGATTTGCCTGGGAACATCTACCCTTCATAATGGGATGCTTTCTGGACATGTCACACCCTGCCAGCAAGGTGCTGCTGGAAAACAGTGATTAATCTGGCTGAGAGATGGGTTGTATACCTGGGAAACAGAAGCTCCAGTGCCTCTCCTTCCCAAGGTGAAGGTGATGTGGGCAACTGGACCTCAAAAGTGTGGTAGTATTGAAACCACATGTAAAGTGGAGCTCTTCAAAGACTGGCCTTGGGCCAACTGTTGTGCATCATCCAAGACCCCTTTGTGAGACCTCAACTTTGTGACTCTAACCAGGCATGGCCAAGAAAGATGTTTTAAATGAAGGCATAAGGAGGAAAACTGCTTCTGCAACTAGGAGCAGAGTTCTGGTCTTGTGAAAGGGGACAAAGGAGCAGAGACTCTTTTGCTTAGGAAATGTTAGGCTGAGTTGTGTGGTTTTGTAGAACCACAGAATAATTTTGGTTGGAAAAGACCTTTAAGATCACTGAGTCCAACTGTTAACCTAGCTCTGCTAAGTCCACCACTAAACCATGTCCCTATAGACACGCTGGGGTGCAAATGCCAGGGTGGGAAAAGTGTAATCAGATTTAATTTCAGAGATGATAGAAACTGGATGGGAACACACTGAGAGAGGAAAGTAGAGGTAACATCCCAGCTGTTGGAGCAGGGTGGAGGGTCCGAGCTATCTTCCAGCAGATGCATGAAGGCAAGATATCCCAGGGTAAGGTAAGCTGTCACACCTAGAGCAACAGGCACTCAGCTCTGTGATACAGAGGGTCCCTTTCAGCTCCATCTTCCTAGATACAGAACAAGACAAATGGGAGATGAAGATGGGAAATCAGATAGTTGGTCCTGATGGAGGGGTTAAAACCTTTCCTGCAGGTCTGGAATAATGTATCCATCATCTGAGGTTTATTTACTGCCACATCTCAAGGTGGCATGTGGAGGAAGCACAAGGATTGGGCTAACTCTTCTCTGTTTGTCTTGATAGAGGAACTGTGGGACATCAAATGACACTGGCAAATGGCAGGGCCACAGGAAAGGGGTTATTTCACAAACGGTGCCATTAGTTTGTGAAACTCCTTCCTAAATGACAATGTGGGTGTTCAAATTTTGCACAGAAAAGGCTAGATGGGTTTCTGGGGTGGGGTTAATAAAATTGGAGAAACCACATCCAGCTCAAGAAGTCCCTGAGCTTCAAATCCTTGGAAGCTGGAGAGGCACTGGGAAAGGTATCACGATGTGTTTCCTCTCTTATGTTCTTCTCTAAGGAGCTGCTTTTGATGCTGGACATAGGATCTGAG